TTTCCTCCTCATGATTAAATACTGATTATATTATTAATGATGCAGTGTTCTATTTAAAAAGTCAAATGAAGCTGGGCGTGGTGGCGCACGCCTTTAATCCCAGCACTCAGGAAGAAAAATTGTAAGAACCAGGGAGGAGGTGCATGACCATATGAAATCAGAGTCTTACAAGATCCTGGGAATCTGCTCAGATGATTCTATGGCAATAGTGTCAGCATACACAAGTCCCATGCAAACTTAAGTAGACAAAAACCCAGCATGGAAGAGGGAAAATGAACAGCAGACCGCAACCTTATCTGAAGAAATATTGGCAACTGTTTGCTGCTAGGTGAAAAAGAGCTGATCTTCCTAAAACAAGGGACTCTAGATAGGCTGACTAGACCTCAGTGGGTGGACTTGCACTAGGGAACGTGTGGGGACACTGTGACAACACAGTGGACAGTAACACGGATGACAGAGTATATGGGCTCCAGTGTGTGTGTGTGGCTATGGAAGGGTGCCATTTGGGAAGTGGGTATATAGATGAATAAGATAGTGTGGGATGTTCTGTATGATATACACACAAAAAAATCAACAAATTAAAAAAAAGACATATTTGAGGAGGAAGTATAAAAATTCACTTCATGTTTATTAGTAGAGGTGATAAACATTATCATTGAAATCTACCTGATGACTTTATATCAATACTTAGGTACTAAGGATCCGAGTGTAACCGACTGTGACTAGCAATAGTCAGATACATAAAGATTAAAGACACATGTGCAAATATCTAAGTGTTACTAGCATTAAAAATGTAGTAAACAGCATATTTTAAAATGAAATGGAGATCTTCTTTAAAGGATAAAAATTCATTCAGTTTTATGTCTTACAGCGTTTATACTGAGTTCAATATTGTATAACTGTATTAATTCAACTGTGAACCTAAAAATTTACAGCTGCTTTTGAAAGAGATGTATCCTTGCTCTGGAAATTGTTACTGAATATGTTAAAGCTGTAATGAAATGCTTCTTAAAAAATATCAATCAAGTAATTAATTAAAAAGCTCTTACAGAAGGTCGGGTGCAATTCCCAGCACCCTCAAGGCAGTTAACTCTGGTTCCAGGGACTCCGGCTCCACCTCTGGCCTCTGCAGCTTCTGTCCACTTGCACTTCTACACACGGAGACGAAACACTGCACTGCACAGTTCAGTTGTCCACTTGACACACCTGGGTGGAGGGAAGCTCAACTGAGGAATTTCTTCCATTGCACTGGCCTGGGACCATGTCTGTGGGGCATTTCCTTGATTGTTTTCCCAACTTGGCTATTGAGCAACACACAGGGAAGGCGGGGCAGCAGGGCAGGAGACTGGCTGATCTCATCTCATCCACACATGGAAAGCAGAGAGGAAGAGAATAGAAGTGGCACTGGGCTCTAAAACCTCGAAGCCCCCAGTGACATACTTCCTCCAGCAAGGCTGTATCTCCTAAAGGTAACCTCCCTAACTGAGCCAGCAGCCGAGGACCACGTGTTAAAATACACCAGCCTGTGGAGGACGTTTCTTAAATCATTTGAATCTATTCATCTAGGCAGATGCCCTATATTTGCTTGGCTAGCAGGGACAGTATTTTGATTGTCGTGGATCTGTGAGCATTTGTGTGGTGTGCCAACCTGAGATGCCTTTAGTTATGCACATCTTTATATACTCAGGAGTGTTTGCTTGGATCAAACAGTAATTCTATTAATTTTGGGAACTCTTCTAGATTGATTCATGCTGTCACCTATGTCAAGATTTCATTCATTTTTAAGATTAAATAATACTATTTTGAATGTGCAGTTTTGGAACATATATTTGAGCACCATATTTTGTTTATTATTTACTCATTAGTGGATAATTATTTTCCCAGGTTTTTATATTTTTAGTTTTTTGAGACAGGATCTTCTCTAGCCTAGGCTGATTTGGAACTCATTATGTCATATGGTGTTGTCTCAAAATTGGAAACCAGTGGTGATGTCAGAATGTCTTCCTTGATCCCTCACCACCTTACATTAAAAATATTTTGTTATTTTTATTTTATGTATATGAGTGTTGCCTACATGTATGTAAGAGCACCTATGCAATGTCCATGAAGGTCAGAGGGGGCATCAGATTCCCTGGAACTGGAGTTACAGATGTTGTCAGCCACCATGTGGTGCTGGGAATTTAGAACCTGGGTCCTCTGCAAGAGCAGCCAGTGCTCTTAACTGCTGAGCCATCTCTCCAGCCCCATTCACCTTATTTTATTGAGCCAGGTCTCTCACTGAGCCTGGGGCTTGCTGTTTCAGCTGGACTGGCTGAGCCCAGGACCAGCCTGTCTGTGCTGCTCAGTGCAAGGGTTACAGATGCATGCTGCCACATCTGGCTTTTTCTGTGACCACTGTAGATCTGAACTTAGATCCAGATACTTGCACAGCAAGCATTTTATCTTCTGAAATAGTCCCCTAAATAGAAATTTTATTGATCACTATTTATTAAAACTAATAATTAACCAAAATAATCATTTATCAATAGTTATCTGTAATGATATAATGTGTAAAACCATCTTGATTAACTTTAGATAGGAAAAACAAAAACTAAAGATAATTTACCAACGGTTTTGCTCATCAATATGTACACATACCTGTTTGTGCTGACAGGAGAAACCACCAATGAGTATAGTTTGAAAGTTTACAGAAACCTGAAATTTCTTTGCTCTGTTCTAGGTCAAGAATAATAAGTGAACTAGCTAGAAGACCAGCGTGTCTAGAATGCTTTCATATGGACTCCAAAGAGCAGAGAAAAGCACCTGCAGATACCACTGCGAAGAATGACAGAAATTAGTTCAAAACAGAATAAAGAGCCAGGAGCGTGAAAGACTATCGTCAACGGGATAGAGGGAGGACGTCTGCGATGGACTGACCACGGAAAACTGGCCAACTCTAAAGCACTCCCAGCTACGACATAACCAACCTAGGAAGTAAAGAGTGGAGGGGAGTGGGGGGGATGGCGCAGGGAGGGTCTCCTGCTACTTCTAGTTTCTGTAATCAAAAGAAACAGAGCCCGGCAAGGTGCTGAAATGTGACACGTTGATTTTCATTATGTTTATATTTGTGGCTAACCACCATATAGATTTTAAGTTATTAAGCTGAATTTATTTTATGAGATTACAATTGTAATAACAATAAGGGGTTTGAGGGTCTTTAAAATTCCATTTCTATTTTATAACATCAGAGCTTATTATTGGTTATTTGGCTTAAAGACAATAAAGTCATATGAAAATTCAGTGTATTGCAGCCTTAGAAGTTACATTTAATATCATTACTAAATTATAAGTGAGGTTCCTCATTATTTGATATATGAATATGAATATTATGAATGTACCAATGAATCATGAAAAATATTGAAATTCAAGATGAAAAAAAGAAATGAAATTCATGTCCAGTCCTTAAAGAATTTCCCAAGTTGACCCCTATGATGTCTAGCCCCCCACATGGGCTAGAGGTAATCAGTAGAGTCTTCGTTAAAACAAAGAACAATTTAATTACATTAATTATTTGAAAGGGTTAAATGTGAACAGAAGAACAAAAGGACACACAGACAGGATGGTATTTAGATTGGCAATGTCAACGGTAGTTCTAGAACAGGCAATCAATCTTGGATCTGTGACGCAATGCACTAAAAGCAGGAAAACGGATTTATCCTCTTCATCTACGCACGGATCTTACTGTCAAAATCCATGTAATTTTGGAATGAAGCCACGCTTGGTTGTGCTGCACTGAATCCAGCACTGTGGGATAAAAAACCAAGATTCCTACAGATCCCACCTTTCGTTCCCACGATGTGTATTTCCAAGAGGACAGACGCGTTAGGGTTTGAGTTGACTTGAAGTCACTCTGAAAACGGGGGGCAGGGCCTCCGGGGAACGGGCATTTTCCCAGCCTCGGCTTCTTCCCACGCTCGTCTGCAGAACTGCAATCACTTCTGCGTTCCTGGGGCTGCAGAGGAGGGCTGAGCATGGGGGTCACGGTGGTGCCCGGCGCGGCTCCTGCCCGGTCTCCAGCCGTGGGGGAGGAAGGGGCGTCGTGTAGGTGAAGACGGCTCACCGAAGCAGAGGCTCCCACGGTCAGCGGGGAGGAGCAGGCGCCTCGGGGGAGGAAGACGAGGACCAGAAGGAAGGTGACGGTGACACAGACCTCACCGTCTCTTAGCCAGGCGTGTCCACACTGGACGGTCTCAGAATGGCGGGCACCGCGCAGAAGTAATGATTGATCTCCCCGGAACCGCAGATAGGAAGGTGCATGGGGTGGATGGTGTGGACCAGCGCGGCCACAACAGCCCCATCCAGGCGGAGGCGGCCATCTTCAGACAGACCCTGGGGCTCCTGGGAACCGCGTGTGCAGAGGGTTAGGACGGCCATAGGCCGTGAGGGTCGGGAAGATGCGCTCGGCGGCCGGGCTGAGTAGGAGACGAGCTTCCTCCCTGCGAAGTGGCCGCTGACCGTCTCGGGGACTGTGCTGGAGATGTGAGACGGGCCACGACGGACAGCTGCTGAGCAGAAAGTGCGGGCGGTGTGGAGGCGCGAGTCCAGCCAGATGAGCAGAATCAGGACGGAATTTCCAGCAAAGGCCAGGGCGCAGATGAGGAGGAGGAGGACGATGAGGTTTGGGTACCTGCAACCGGGAACAGCCCCAGCAGGATGAAGTCAGTGGAGGTTTGATTCCTCAAGTCCATATTTCATTCAGAATTTCTTACCTCAACCGAAAATCTACAAGGGCAAACTGATACCAAAGAGGAAAGTGCTTGGCTAAAGTAATTCGCGTCTCTTGGTAAGTATCTCTGCTCTGTCACCCAGGGGATAGGAATCTGAGGTGTAGATAGGAGAGGTATTGGGTTAAGGCACAGGGTAGGAAACGGGAGGAGCAGAGGTCAAGGGCTTAATAGAAAACCTCAAGTTGCATGTTCTGACACCAAGTTAAAACTGAGCAACCTGTGCGTGTTGGCAAGGCTCAAGACGACCTGGGGCAGGCAGCGGTCAGCGACCCGAAGCTAAAAGGCAAACTCGATGTCAAATACAGAGCGTTATTTCCTGTCCTAAATCGATATCCTGAGTTTTGGGCTACACAGAACAGGCTTTCACTGGCTACAGTAAAACCAAGCACCCCTCCCTCCCTCCCTTCCCCTGTCCCCAGGCAGCACATGGTTGGTTTTCTGGCCCCTTTCAGCAACAGCTGCAATCAGCCAAAGGCACAGTGCTGCCCTCTTAATGCGGTCCTGGTCTGCCTCCTTTGCTCCCACACCTGGACCCCCTGCAAAGTGTGGTCCTTTGGGCTCCTCAAAAGCTTGCTTCTCTTTTCCTCTCCACTTGGCGTTTCCTGTGGTTGTGTCTTTAAGGACCTCACCAAAGACCCAGGTGTTTGTCCATTTGTCCCATGACAAAGACATCTTATAAATTCCCACCAAACTGATGTCCTTTACCTAGAAATTAATAAAGTTGTATCCTACAGTAATTCTGATTGGAAGCAATTAATAATTAATCCCTTTGATAATAATCTCTCAGTCATTCCTGTCTTTGAGTTTTTGCATAAACATCAACAAGCTCAAGACTTCCACATTCCTTCTAGAGTTCTATTCCACTGCCCTCCACCCCAGAGCATCTCTTGCACTTTCCTTGAGACACTTTTATAGCTGCCCCCACAGAATCCTGATTGTTCTACCAAAGAGGTAATCCTGCTTTACTCACTAAAAGTCTTAAGTTCTAACTGATTCGGTTTCTATATTATCTTCTTAATAGAATGAGTTTAAAGTTGAGTAAGCTCCTCAATTAACAGCCCAAGAGACAGTGATTTTACCACTTAAAATTTTTTCTGATATTCTTTTCATCATCTATAGAATAAAATTAGAAACTCTTAAAATATTTTGTAGGTGTGGATAACGTGGTGTAAACGGTTTGCAAGACCAGGTGTTTGCAGATGTGCCGCCCCAGGACGCACAGCCAAGCTTTCCTTTTTAGAACAGCGGGGACACACCTGGTATATAGGACAAGAAACATCTCGCATTAAATCCCCACCGACAAATCCATTTCCTTTGTCTTTCCCGAAACTACACATTTAATGCCTTTACTTTTCAAGCAATGGAGTCCTTCTCCCATAATCAATCATGTTCTTTACTGGATCCCATCCTATGTTGCTAGGCCTTCCTTTGTCTGAGCTGATGAAAACAATGAACTGCACCTTAGTTGCCCTGTAAGGCTGCTTTAACTTTTTAAAAATTATAATAAATCAGTAACTTGATAAAAGAGTTATACATTTAGTCTAGTCCACTGAAATCATAAGTCAACAATAAACTGTGCAAGAAATCAGATAACCACTCAGTCCCGACTAAATCATGCACAAAGAATGCATTAACAATATTATCACTAAGTATTTTCCATCACGATTCATATTTTGTCTTCAAAATGGTTGATGCTGACTGCCTTGGTCTACGGTGAGGAAGAAGGAAGTGTGACTCCTGGCTCCCTCTAATGTTCCAGGCCACATCCTTCTGCTCCTTCTTGGAAGTCACACTTTTTGTCAATCACACAAGGTATCCAACTTTCCCTGTTGCAGACTTTCAGTCTGAGTGGAAATGTTTTTGTGTAAATGACAAAAGGCAGATGCTATTGTAAGCATGTGGACAGACTCACCTCTGATAACTCACTCCACTCCTCACACTGCTCAGAAACTCTGCTGTAGAATATCCAAATGCTATCGGTGGACGCGAGGGAACATTGGGCACCCACCGGGATTTCCAGGTTCTTGTTCCAGGAATAAGACTTTGCACAGAGACATGGATGCCAGAGACTGTGCGTCCAAGGGAGGAAGTGGCCAGAGCTGGAGGCAGCTGAGCAGCTCAGTGTCCCTGTGTCCACAGTGGAGCCCTTCTGTGGGGATGGGCTTCTGCCTTAGGCCGTTTCTTACCTGTTGGTCTTGGTGGGAGGAAGCTTCCTGTCCTGCCCTCTGCCAACCGTTTCTTTCATATGCTAGGTTGACACCCACTTTGACCTCACTCTCCTCCTCTCCTGCTCTCACGGAGCAAAGAAAATTGTTTGCATTTTCAAGCAATGCTTCTTCCAGAACAAAATATATCCCCAAAGGTGCACTGCTGGAGGGTAGCCTTGCCTCCCCCGACTGGAAATATCAAGAGTAATGTTGATTATGGTGCCAGCAATTACCATGAACTGAAAGAGTCTTGGCACACACTGTCCCACTAACTTCCTCACAGGCCTGTGAGTAATGACTAGAGAGGAGGGTGGCTGTGTCCCTCATCCGCCCCTTGTCAGGCTGACGTAACACTGGGATCCAGGAAGCCTCTCCCCCAGCCTCACTCTGTCAGGACGCTGTCCTGGCTCCCTAGTCAACTACACAGCAACCTAAGCACTGGGAATTTATTCCTCACTTCCTACTAAAGCACCGGGAATTTATTCCTCACTCACTCCCTACCTCTTCCACTTGTTGAGGAAACACATTCTGTGTGTTACGATTCATCGTGAACAGCATTCTGTCTTTTCTCAGATCCAAACACATCTGTTTTTCTCAAAGGTTTATATCCCAGACCTGGGGTTGCAGGATGAGATAGTCTGAGCTACTTCCTGCAGGGAAAGCAATAACTTCATTACTAAGTAGTTCATAGTCTTCCTTCCCAAGCTCAGCCCTGTTTACTGCTGCAGAGGGAGCCTCAGGTAGATCACACTGGCCATCTTCCCGTGTCCCTTAATCAATCAGTTCATTAAGTGAATCAGTTCTTGTCTTGAGAAACCTGACCTCTGGCATCTCACAGTCCATGGAAAAGGACCCCGTAACACTTCTGCTCGACACCCAGCTCAGGTCTGAGAACAGGGTGATGGCTCAGTGCTGTCTTCTGGCTGGATCAGCACAGGTTCTGAGCACCAGGGAACTAGGGAACTGTGTGGGAAGTCTCATGGGAGCCCATCCCCAGACTTCAATTAACCATAGACCAGAACCCTCTGATGAAAAGCTGATCGCTGTCTGGTGTTCTGCACTGTTTTCAAATAACAATCGAGTTTTCACTGTCTCTAGGAGATGGAAATGTCACAGTGTAGCTGGGATTGAAAGAAATGGATTCTGAACAATAAAAATTCTTTCAGGCTCTCCTGTGACAGTGATCTTGTCTGATAGAGGATGGACTGGGACCCTGGCGGGACAGAGGGAAATCAACAAAGTTCTGATCAGAGAGAAGAGTTTGTCTCCCAGAAGAAAGACGTCCTAACAGTCGACCCTTCACAGGATGGTCTGCATTCTGAGGAGCAACACTGACTACTAGGCTAGCATTTCTTTTTATTTGTAAAATGAGTGTGTTTAACAACAGTACCCGAGTCCAGACTTAAATTGGCCTCAAGAACGACACAGAAGATCTCAGCCCTTGCCTATCAGAGGGACAGACCTACGGACACAAACTGTTGGGCACAGCACGGAGTGGGGCGCTTTCTCCCAACATCCTATAAAAGTCCCTGATACTTTTCCTGATTGAAAATGAGAGATTTTTGAGATGGAATGACTGTCCCATTCATAAACTGAATAAAACCAATTTTTGTCTTCTGGTTTTCCAGGAACTGGCAGGAAGCCAAGTTCTGTAAGACTCCCACACTGAGGGTGGAAACAGCTTGAAGCCTTTGTGCCAGGGGAGTTACGGACCCTCAGGAAAGGCCTGATGACATCTCACTGATAAATCTGTACATGCAAATTTCCTTGCGTTCTAAAAAGCTTTTATGTTTATGGCCCTTCTTATATTGATTCAGTTTTAGTTATACTTTGTTTTTCATAGTGAACAATCTTTTACTAATCTTTTTATCTGTGTTTTCCCTTAGAAAAGCTCAGTAACATGATGAGAAAGTCCACAAGGAAATTGAGATTTTGAAAAAAAAATCACAAATAGAAATGTTCAAAATGAAAATCTTAGTTAAATGAAAAAAATACAGTGGAAACCATTATGTGGAGACTAGACCAAGCCAAAGATCACTCAGGGTTGGAGGTCAAGGTTGAGAAAACACTCCAAGGAATTGAGATAATTTGTCCCAAGACCAACCTTCACAGAACTAGATAAAAAACATGATAAAAATTCATATGGAAGCACCAGAGGCCTCAGATAGCTAAAGCAAGCCTGAACAATGAAAGTGCTTCAGGAGCTTTTATGAAATCATACCTGATTTCAAGTTACACTGCAGAGCCATAGTGAAAACCAAGAGCTAAATGAAAATCAAAACCAAAAAGCGATAGGTTACTGGCAAAAAACACAGGCATATGGGTCAGTGGACTATAATAGAAGACAGACGTAAAGTCATAGTGACCTTTTTGAGTGAGATGACCAAAATATACATGGAGAAAAAACCCTCCTACATAAATGAGGAAACTACATGTAGAGGAATGAAACTAGATCTAAATCTCTCATCCTGCACAAAACCTAGCCAGAAATGGGTCTAATACCTGAGCTCTAAAGTTGTTAGAGGAAAAAGTAGAGAAAACTTCAATACCGAGGCAGATGCATAGACTGTTTGAAAAAGACTCCAGTTGCTCAGAAATTGAGATCAGCATTCACCAAATGGGACCTCGCGAAGTTGAAAAGTTACACAGGAAAGGAAGCAATTGAGCAGAGAGATAGTCTACAGCATTGGGAGAGAATCTTTGCCAGCTACACATCAGACAGAGGATTAATATCCAGACTATAAAAAGAACTCACAAAACAAAGTAAGAAATAAAACGAGCAACCAATAAATGAGCTAACTAAATGAATGGAGAGTTCTCAAATGATGAAATCAAATGCCCATAAACATTAAAAAATGTTCAACTTCACAGGCCATCGAGGAATGCAAGTCAAAACCACCCTGAGATGCCATCTCACTGCAATCAGAGCGGCAGTCATTAAGAAAACAAAACAACACATTATGGTGAGGACACGGAGAAAATGCAACCCCCACACACTAGACCAACCACTACGGAACTGTGGAGGTTTCACACACACAAAACTAAACATAAGGCTGAGCAGACAGCTCAGTGAGCAAAGAGCTTGGTCCACAAGAACGTGAAGACCTGGGAGCTCCAGTCTGCAGCACCCACGGACACGCTTCGAGGGCACCGTATCAGCCTTGTTTCTGTTGCTATGCTGGAATACTGAACATTTTTCTTGGTTACTAGCATTTGATTTCACCTTCTGAGAACTGCCCGTTTATTTCATCAGCCCGTTTATTGATTGGCTTGTTTTATTTCTTGTTTTCTGAATTCTTTTTATAGTTTGGATATTAAGCCTCTGTTGGATGTATAGCAACTTAAGGGAGAAAAGGTTTGGCTTACAGTTCCAGAGTGGACACAGTCTGTCATGACAGGCAAGACGTGGCAACAGCCCCCCATGACAGGCCAGACACGGCAGCAGGAACAGGAGGCCTGGCTATCATTGTGCACATGGAGTTCAGGAACACAGTGTAAATAGGAAATAAGATCTCACTATAAATCCTTAAAGCCCACCACCCAGTGATGTACTTCCTCCAGCGAAATTCCACCTTCTAAAGGTTCCACAACATTCTCTAACAGTGCCACCATCTGGGAACCAAGTGTAGTAACACATGAGCTTAAGGGGAACATTTCACGTTCAAACCATGGCAGGTATCATGACCTACCTGTCACCCCTGTGCTCAGGAGGCAGGAGCAGAATCCCAGGACTAGTTGGCTGGATTGATTGTGAGACTAGCTGATTGGAAAGCTCTGCGTTCAAATGAGAAACCATGCTTCAGTATATAAGCTGAAAAGCAATTGAGAAAGATACCTGGCATCAAGCCCTGACCTTTACACACACAGGCACACACATATACACATGTGCACATGCGTGCACTCATATGCATCCACACACATACACACATACACACATGCACACACCACACACACAAACAGAACAATAGTGCAAATAGATCTTCCAGCCATACCACTTCTCAGGATTTTCCTGAACTCTAGGCCATCAGACTACAGAGACCTGCACATCAATGCTTGCTGCAGCTCTATTCACAGTAGCTTATGTAGGGGAACCAACTTAGGGGGTCCAGAATATTCCTCCCAAGCACCAAAGAATACACATTCTACTCAGCAGCTGTTGCACCAAATTCCCCCCATCCCTTCCCCCAGACCCAGTTGCACTGTCTCAGTTCTCAGGTTCATGCGGTTCTAATGCCGAGCGACCAAACCACCACAATGTCCTTCTTAAGTTACAGTTTGGGGAATAAGAATATTCATTTGGGCTTGCCAACAAAGCTTATGCTATTTGGGAGAGGGTCACTTACAAAGGCGTGCATGCCCATGGGCTCTTTCTCCCTCACATCTCGGCTAAGCTGGAGATCCGCTCCACCAGTGCTGCGTCCTGCCCACAGTCCACCGAGCATAGCCAAGATGAAGGCTCCCACCACCCCAGCGTTTCCCAGTGTCCTCAGCATCCGTCCCTAGACCCTCCCCCTCTGAGTCTCTTGGGGTTCAGTTTTAGTTCCCTCTGAAGACATGCCTACCCAACAGCAGTCCATGGAGGTTTCTCTAAAACAGACACATACTGGGGCACAAAACAAACATCAACAAATACAAAAAACTGAAACAATTCCACGAATTATATAGGACCACAAAGCAATAAAGCGCACAATCAACAGCAGGAAGAGTTCTAGTAACTACATGAACTCATGGAGATTAAACAACGCACTCGTGAATGACGAATGGGCCAAAGAAGAGATCAAGAAAGAAATAAAAATATTCCTAGAAGTAAATGAAAACGATAACACAACAAAACTGGGATCTTTTAAGAATCTGTAGCACTAAGAGCCTACAATAAATAATCAAAAAGAGACAATAAATGACTTGGTGATACAATATAAGAATCTGGACAAGCAACAGCAAACCAAACACAAACCAGCAGATGAGAAGGCATAGTAAAAATCAGAATAGAAATCAATGAAAATAATACAAAGACTCAATGAATCTAAGAGCTGGTTCTTTGAAAAGATAAGCAAGATAGAACTTTAGCTCGGCTAGCCAAAGAAGGAAAAGCAAATCCAAATCAACAAAATCAGAGATGAAGCGGGAAACATCACAACAGACACCCAAAAGATCCAGAACATAAGGGAATACTTTAAAAACCTACATCCTACTAAATAAAAAATTTAAAAGAAATGGAAGAATTTCTAAATTCAGTGGGACCACCAAAGTTAAACCAAGAAGAGATCAACAGTTTAAACAGACCCATAACATATAAGGAAATTGAAACAATAATACAAAACCTCTCAACTAAAAAAGTCCAGGCCCAGATGGATTTACAGCAGAATTATACCAGACATTTAAAGAAGACCTCCAACCAATACTACTTGAATTATTCAAAATGATAGAAACAGAGGGAGAACTCCCAAACTCATTCTATGAAGCCAGCCAGGTAATGACACAATAACAAAAGAAAATTATAGGCCTATATTCCTAATGAACATAGATGCAAAAATTCTCAACAAAAT